TGATGGAGAGCCAGGCATGCTCATAATGAATGATGGTTGGGAGTAAGAGGGGTTGGGGCTGGAGATCCCACTATCTATGGAACCACAGGGGCTACCATGTATGGAACAAAGCCAGGTCCATACATAAATGGTGAAAGAGATATAGAAGGCCCCATGTGAAGCCACTGTAACTAAACACCAGAGGTGTGGGTGTATATGTCATCACTGGATATGCTACAATGCCACTATCTAAGCTTGCTGAATTGATTCCTATTACATATTCAGCAACCTGCCCATTTGGCAAGAACGACCGAGTTGGAGGTAAAAACTCATTTTATTAACCTCCACTTTTGTACCCATGATAGAGATGGCAGGACCATTCATGCCTTAGGAAGTTGATTTCATCTCAACATGTCGATCATGAGAATCATCAAAGATAGAAAAGCTGTCATTCAAGTCTATATTCCTCATTGAAGGTTGTCTTGATGATGAAGCAGAGGAAGGAGACAAGCTTTGATTGCCATTACGGTGATGATAAGGGGGTTTTTCATCCATCCTCCAATTTGATGATGGGGCATCTTCATTTTCATCAACACTATTCAAGTCTAGCTCGAGTCTCTCTGCCCTTCTTGAACTCACTTCAATGGAAGATTCCTCGAAAAGAAAGCTAGAAGATATTGGCATTTGTTTCATCAGTGTCGTATTAGTGACCTGTCATCAATATCAAGAACATCCCACCTCTGCTTTGAACTATAATTGCTTCCCTTGACAGAGGCCATCTTTTCACCATCCAGAGTCCTGTGTGGAGATGGTGGGTGAAAAGCACTTGTTGCAGTAGACCCCTTCCATCCCAGTGCCCCCTCTATAGAGGAGTCACAGAGTAATACAAAGTACAGGATCAAGTTGGAAATAAATGTCCATGGTAGCGTTGACATGCCCACGAGAAATAATCATGGACGATATTTTGACCTGTCGTGTAGACCGACCCATAATATAGTGTGGTTCGATCTACACCATAGTGTAACCGAACAATAGATTTTGGTGTTGTGCATTTCTAAACGTAATATATTGTGGTGCATCCACACCACCAAACACCACCTAAATTGCAAATAAATAAACCCAACCTCTAGAAGGAAAGGATCCGATAAGAGGCCCGTGGGGCCTATTTCAACCCATAACAAAACTTCAATTGCAAACACACTATTCGGTCTAGAGGGGTCTTGAAACCAAGGGCAAATTCAGTCCTCATAGAATTGTCCTCACAAGCACAACCTTTTCCATCCGTGTATTGATAACATCTCCATATTTGAATCTTTTTATTCATGAAGAGATATTTGCAATACACGAGGCTATGAGGATAGTGTGAGGATGGTTTTGTGTAGACCAAATCTGATTTCCTCGAAACCGAAGAGGTTGTTAAATATAAATAGGTTTAGTTACCTAATTAAATTAACATAATTATCCTAATTTTAAATGAACTTAAATTAAGTAACATAATTAATCAACTTTAAATTATGTTACCCTAATTAACTTATATAACCTAATTAATGAAGTTAACCTTAACCCAATGTTTTAAAAGTCAAAATGAAAATGAAATCATTTTTGCCTTTGGGTTTTGAGTTAGAGGTTCAATCATTGGGTTCGAAATGGATCCACATACGATATTCATCCATGTTTTTAAAACTAAGTAGGAGCTGGAACTGCTTTGGCCACTGGTTTTTAGGTTAACAGTTCGACCATTTGGTTTGAACGGATGACCCATTTCAATTTTAAAAATAAAAATTTAAAAATAATTAAAAGAAAAATGGCCAAAAACTATTGTCTGGGTCAAACAGATTGACAACTTAATTGTCCAAGTTAGCAGTCTAACCATTTTGGCCAAGATATAGATTAAGGGTGAAATAGAACCAGTTGTCTCAACGGTTTTTGGCCAAATGGTACAACCATCAAGGTCAACGACAGTTCGAAAACCATGATACTCATCATAAATATAGCAAAATATTCAAATTATGAAAAAATAGTTATTAGTTTATGAATGGTTGTGCACTTTAGAAAGTTCAATGATTATACAATCTAGATCAAAGGTCCATTGGCCAAAATCAACTATATTTTACAAAATAATGAGATAATTGGTAACTAAACAAAAAATGTGACCAATTTTCCATTAAAAGAGCTAAGCTCAATGATCTTTGGTAGGGGAGGAGCCAAAATTTTTTACGGGTGCCAAAACCTAATTAAATGGATGGGGATGGGAGAATAAACATGGATGGGGGTGGGGCTTTGAGGGACTAATCATTGGATGAAAGTAGGGTGAGAGGGAAAATTTACATGGAGAGGTATAGTGTAAGTGGGGATTAGGGTTCCCCTGGGTCGCCCTGGCTCCACCCATGATCCTTGGGGTTGCTTTACCCCTTGCTTATCTTAGAGCATTTCCCTCTTGTATCCAAAAAAAAAAAGGAAAAGAAAAAAGAAAAAATAACCAACTTGGGTTGGCTTGACCTAATTAGGAATGTCATAAGAAGACTATTACCTTAAATATATTTGACAAACCCTTTGAATCGCACAGGTCCCAACTAGTAAAATCCAAATGAAAGGTAGAAGCGAAAATAATGAGCAAGACAACTTTAAGGCAATCAACCCACGTAAACCTGTTTAAATATACATTATTTATATATAATATATAATATATTTATTTATTAAATTATTATCAAATATTAATTTACTATTCAAAAAACATGAATTAATGTATTAAATTATTAAATTATTACCAAATTAATATAATATTAGTTTATTAAATTACACCAAAAATAGGATATTTTATGTATAGATTGGGCTTCGAACTTCAAGCCTTATATAAGGGCTGAACTCGGGCTCAAGATCTAGGCCTGAAGGTCAGGTCAGGCTTAGGCTCGGGCCTAAACATTTTCTGTTGATAAAAATGCAAAGCCCTACCCTGGCCTTGCCCATAAACAGGTCTAATTGGGACGTCCAACTCAAACTCATCAAGCTTTGACCTTAGGTTGGTAAGGGTCGTAAGGCCGGTATTCAAGACCAATCTTAGGGTTGGGCCAGGCCTTAAGAAAAAATAAAATAGATATAATATTTAGTAGATTTATTGTCAAATTACAACTTACAAGCTAACTGCCAACTAGACAACTACAATTGAGTCTTATTGGATTAAACCCAACAAGCCAATCTTTTACTAATTTACTAGCACATCAAGAGAAATCGAAGTCATTTTCTAAAACACCTCCGTAATTTTACAGATTTATTAAAACCTATCTTATAGTTTGTATTTTACTAAAATATCCCCTATAGTCTGCAACTGACTTTACTTGGGGCGGTGTTTAGAACCAATGGCATTTCTTGAGAGGCATTCTTTGAAAAAACGGTGCTCCATTGGTATGCTGTTTTCTCAGAAAACATTTTCTTTTTTCTATTTGGTACCATTGTTGTTGCTGCTACATAGATGTTTTTCAATGAACAATAGTAGAAAAGCAAGAAAACACTAAATAGGTGTTTAGCATGGATGCCATTTCCTTAGCATTTCTCAGACCACACCTTCCTGGTTTTCTCTACTGTTGCTAGTAATGGTATGCTAATATGGCATTGAAAAATGTATATGTGGCAGTAACAACAATGGTAGTAAATAGAAAATTTGAGAAAATAACATGCTTATGCTGGAAATGACATTGTTCCAAACACTGCTCGAAAAAGGCATTTTCTCATACCACACCATTCTTGATTTGTAAGGCATGGTCTGAGAGAATATTTTTCAAAAAAAACAAACAAACACATAACTGAGCCGAGATGTAAAAAAGAAAAAATGGAAAAATTGTTCTTGCATTTGTTAAAGTGTTGGCAACCACCTCATTTAGTTAGTTTAGTTTTATATTCAAAGAAGGAAGTCAGTGTTTTAGTCCGTTTGGATGGTCATGTGACTCGGGGTGGATTCAAGCTGAGCCGAGATGAATAGTATGAGGCTATGAGGCTCAAGCTCGACTCGCCTAGGAAGTAGAAGGCTCGAGCTTAGTTCAAGCTAAAACCTTGAGCTTGAGCTCGGCTCAGCTCAAGCTCGATTTGAGAAAAATATTTTATAAAAATTAAAAATTATATATAAAAATATTTTTTTATTTAATATTTAAAAAAATAAGAATTATAATATTTTTATTATATATATATAAACTATATTCGAGCTGGCTCGCGAGCCTCATGATCTGAGTTCTATTAGGCTTGAGCTCGGCTTGTTTGTTAATCGAACTTGTAATATGGGCTTGAGCTCGAACTCGGTTGAAACTAAGCCGAGTCAAGCTTTTCACGAGCCAAGCTCGAATAGCTCGTGAAGTGCTCGACTCGTGGCCACCCCTACATATGACCATTTTATAAATAGTTCTTAACAATAGGCCAATGAAGTATTGTAAACTATATATGAGTGTTTTAGTAAGGCTATATTTGAAATCAATGTAAAACACTGAACCATGAAAATGATCGTTGCTTTTTTAAAATAATGATGGGTGGAAGAGTATAAAGTTTTACATCAATAAAATCAATATAGATTTTACATCAATTATCGATGTAAAACTTTAAAGTTGATGAAATTTTACATCGATTGTTCACGTAAAACTCCACTCCATGTAAACCCATGCAAAACTGAATCAATATAAAATTTTACGTGAATAATAATTACACCCTCTTTACAAAAGCCTACAAAACCTTACTTTGATTTATATCGCATCCAAATGCCGACTAAAATTTTATTCACGTAAATGAAAGAATTAAAATCGTGTGTTATTTTCGGTATGGGACCAGGTCAGGTCTTAGACGCAAAACCAACCCGACCCATTTACCGTCATATCCACACGTATATTTATTTATTTTCGAAAGATATCCACACGTTTATCTGGTATCTGCAAAAAATTCCACACATAACAGTCTGACAGACAGTCCTAGATCTTTTCCTACTACGGTACAAATTACATGCAAAACAACAAAACAGGGTGGAGAAGATGAACAAAAATATCTCCAACCACTGAACTCTGCACAAATTTGTCTCCCCTGTTCTTATACATCCATTTCCAGAAATCTATCCACCAATACCCATTGCACAAAAGAGTACGACTCTGCTTTGTCTCTCTGACAGACTGAAATTTTCTCACAATCCAGAACCCACCTCTTCTCCTCTCCGTCGTCGAAACATGGTGGCCATGAGTTCTCTGACTCCATGGACTGCAGCAACATCCTCCCCTCTCACCACTTCACCCCCTTCCTCTCGCTCCAACTTCCCAAAGCACCTTCCATTTCCGTCATCGTCTCCACCTTGCCTCATCTTCCGATGCCAGAGCCAGAACCTCACCCAAGACCACCAGTTCGTCCTCCACGACGCCCTCGACGCTTCTGGGTTCGACACCCACCATGCCCGGGTGAGATTTCCTTCTTCTGTCTCAATCTATGCCTTCATTTCCTTTCTTTTATTCACTTAATCCATTTCCCGGACGGCGACCATTCTGCAGGCGGCGAGAGACAGTTTCTGCTCTCAGATTAGTCGGTTGTCGAGTTTGGAGAGGGAGACTAGCATTTGCATTAACAAGGAGTTGACTTGGGGACAACGGCCCTCCACATTGCTGCCGAAGATCATAACCTCGTATCTCAATCTTCAGAGGCATTCCCGGTCGACGAGTTCGTTGATAGGTTGGATGATGTCTCAATGGGCTGCTTGTCTCGCTGCAGTTCTTCCTTCAGATCGTCTCCTGAGGATTTTCTTGGCAGCCTGGAGAGATACTTGTATGGCTACATGGTATATGAGTATATCAGCTTCCTTGCTTCTCCTTTCTTCATGTTTTCTTCCCTAATTATCCATAAAGGTTAATTTCTTTGTCTTTTGTTTCTTTTATTCTTTCTGCTATTTAAATATAGTTTGAAGTAGAACTTAACCAATAAATTATGAAAAGCATAATTCCAGTCCAAACCTGCTGGTTGAACCATAAACCTATGAACCATCTTCCCTTTAGCATGACCATTGGATTTGTATTAAAGCTGGATGCTGGTTTTTCTCATTTGGTGTTGAAGGGTCATTAGTGAGACCGCAGGAGTTTGGGGCTAGACCTGCTTAAATGTTATGTTGGTATATACATCATTGCAATTATTTGGTTAATTAATTGGTTGGCTTACAGAATGAACCGGGTGGTTCAATTCATCCCCTTTCTGGTTTGATATCTTGGATTGTTATGACTACTGGAGCACAGGGGTCTTCTTATACTAACAATGATGTGTACATAATGAAGTAAAAGCATCAGTTGCCAGTTCATGCTTGGGTGCAATCAAGAGATTGGTATTTACCCAAAATGAATATCAAGTGGATGAGCAAATATTCTTCACTTGAGCCCAAAATGTGCATCCCAAAACAGAGTACTTTTACAGCATCTGATGTGGATTTTCAGGAACCAAAAGCGGAAAAGTGCATTTTCATGTAAAATATTTAACTTGTTTTTATGACCTTTCAGAACAAATTATTTCTTAGCTAATAGCACTGACATGCTAGTAATGGTTTAAACTTTTAAGATATGTCATTCGAGTTCATTGTTGAATAAAAGTAGGTAGCCAGATGAGTTAAAGCTGTGTTTATTTGTGGTTAAATTGTAGGAACCCAAATTTCATCTGTCAAGGGCCCATTTAATGTGTAGATATACAAATTTCTGGATTTCTTTTTCTTTGTTTCACAGACAGTGCACTCATGATTTCCATCAGTTTCAATTTATCCTCTCTCAGTTCACTGGGCTAAAATTGAGCTTGTTTTGTCTATTTTCAAAGAGAATTTAAAGAAAATAAAACCTCATATAACATACTTCTGCACTCGGAAATTTCTCTGGTGTTACCCATGTTACAATTGTCTTCGTTCCTTATTTGTGGTTCAATTGTATCAGGGTTTCCGGAGAGCCACTGCCAGGAACCAATCAGAGACACAAGCTTTATATCTTGATTCAGTATGCCTCTCCACTTGTCATTTTGTTTTAGCCTACTATTAAATAATGCATATATATATATATATTGATATTTGTAGCATTCTCTTCAATACTTTATTGATGTATTGATGTTGTTGACAGGTTTTGACACATCGTTCAGGTTCTGTTGTTATGCTTTCGCTCATCTACTCAGAAATCTTAAAAATGGTACGCATGTGGGACCTTTTGAACTTCGATGTAGAGATTTACTTCCCTCATGATCTTGTTAGTCTTCCTAGAGGCTATCAGAAACAAAAAAGCAAGGTGGCTGACCAATCACATATAATGACTTCACAGTCACTCCTAGCGGAGGTAGGTTTTGATTTGTGAAATCTGTTCTGTTGTCAGTTTGCCTTGTTCTCTATCATTAGTAATTATATTCAATATTTGAATGTTGATTGTCTGTGCAGAAATTGATTCTTCTGCTACTATATTCTTCATGTTTAGTCATTACACAGACGGAGTTAATGATCAGAAAAATAAAGAAGTTTTAGACAATAAGACTTGCTGCAAAATTCTATCTTGATGAATTACACGTTGAATTTTATGTGATCTTTGCCCCCTTTTATACTTAAGCCACAAAATTACTTAATTTTAGTACAAAACTGATGTGTCAGATGAGTTGAAACTCCTAGACTGAAATGTCTAGGTAACAAAGTTACAACAACTCAATTAGACATCAAAAGTTTGCAAATGAGCTGTCAAGTGCTAAATGTTGTGTTTGAAGTGGGGTTAAATTTTCACTTCCGAATTGAATATCCTTGCCTCAGTCTCATTCTGTATTATGTTTAGAATCATCTTTACCAGAAGTATTGTTTTGTTACAATTTATGGTAGTACTAGCATTATATACATGCAGGTCTTGAGAAATCTGAAGGAAGCTTTTTGGCCATTCAAGTATGATCATACCATGAGTCTGTTTTTAAGAGCAGCCCATGCAGCTAACTGCATTGGTAGACCAAGCATTCTGGAACAAAGGTCATTCAACTCTTGCAATAATTTGATTTGTACCTCATTGTTCTTTGTATGAAAGCTTGTTGTAAACTTCTTCTCATAGTACATTGACATCCTTTATTTCTATGCCTGGTTCTTTCTTTGTGTCATCTATTTTACATTAGAAGTGGTGGCATTGAGATTGCATCAGCTAAAGCTATTAAACATAAGGCCGAATATGGAGTCTGGAATGGAGATATGCGCTGTGCATTGTCAGGTATGGACTACATCATCTTCTTTCCTAATAAATAGTTGAGTGAAATCCAGTTCACGCTATTGATAATATGGAAATTTAGTTTATGCATATACAGATACATATTTGTACATTGGTGGCTATCCATATCATGTAATGTTAGTGGAGTCACCTGCTTGGCTGATTGGTAATTTGGTTGGAGACTTTGGCTAGCTAAAATTAAAATGAAATCCTCGTTGAGTTTTGAGTTTTGTTCTGGTCATTTTTCAACCTATGATTGTGTTGTAAGGATGAATTGTCCCAGCGGTGGTGTGCTTTTGAATCCCGCTATTATCATATCTGCAAGAAAAGAGCTGTTGATGTGATGTTGTAATGTTCACTTGAAAGAGTATCCACCCCTATGGGGGTGTCAGGCAGTGGAAAAAAAACAGCCAACCATATGATATTAAAAATGAAATGTACAGAATCATAGTTTCGGAATAAACACAAGAAGCTGATAATTCTTCTTCAGTGCTTCTCCTCTTTTGTGGTTATATTTGGCTTGCATATATGTAACTATGTAACCAAGAAGCCCATTGTCTAGCAAAATTTGCAGTTAGACATACAAGTCTATGTACATGGTCTGTTGTACCAGACTTTCAAAACTCTATCTTCTAACTTCTCTATCCAGGAAACTGATGAACTGTGGCTCTGGAGCCAAGATTGTGGCTTCTGTTCACCGAGATTTGATATTCCAACCCATGGTTTTAAAGCAATTACCATCTCCTCTAAGGAACTTCAGCTCATCATATCCATTCATGGGATAAAAGGATCAACTCTAAAATTTTAGTCTGAGGTAGATAACCCTAAATGGTCTGATAAGAGGATCCTAATATCTCTCCCTTCATTGATTTCTCTGAAGCATATGTGCAAGTATGAAATAGATTTTGATGAGTCAATTTTGAAGCAGGCATTCTTTATGAATCCCTCCATTAAGGATCAACCCCAACTTGAGCTTCATTAGTTATTTTAAATTCAAGATCAACTCTCCACTCTTGTGAGAATATTTTCGAAACGGAAAGCAATCAGTACGAACTCCGCCAGTGTGAGCTTGTCTTACACTGCCAGTCCCAAGCCTGGATAAGGGAGGGCAGAGGAGGGTGCATCTGGTTGGCAGCCTGCACTAAAATGTTTTCCAAACTCTCATGATATGGATCCTGATTATGACGAAAGCAATCAGTACCAAGTTTAGCAATATAATGTATTATTTTTCGATGTCCATAGCATGGGCACTGGTCTAGTGGTCTGTTATCATCTAATATGTCATCACTTCTTTCAAAATATGTTTAAAAATATAATTCATCATCTTTGACATTCCTATCATCATTTTGATACACAGAAAATCTAGTTTTCGTAATCTTTTGCACCAGGTCTAATGTTGGTATTTGTTTTCCTGTTTTACAGCCTGTGAGCGTCTTATTCTACTGGAGTCTGGTTCCAATGAATTAAGAGATTACAGTGTTCTTCTTTATCACTGTGGGTTTTATCAGGAATCTCTGCATTACCTCAAGTTGTATCAATCCTTAAGGGTAAAATATCTGCACCTAATTTGGATACTCGAAATGTGGAGGAACTTTTAACTCTAGCGTAAAAGAAATTCCATTTTTGTTATTGCAGAATTCTTGCATACAAAAGCAATCTTCCAATGCATCAAGAAACCTGGAGGAAGATGAAGTGGAGAAACTGATGATTCGTCTTAATCTCATTTTGATGGAGCAAGGCTGGACCAGGTCATCGTGTGTTGCATAAAATACTTGTTTTTGCAACTGCAACATCTACGCAAGTCAGAGTAGAAGATGATCTTCTTTATTTTAATGAGAAGGATCAAATTGTCATATCGATAGATTGAATTTTATATTCTAATTCTTATGTGCAGTGACCTCTTGAGAGTTGCAGGAAAATTAACATTGAATGTATACGGGACCTTGGGATGAATTATTTGTACCCATAATGCATGTATTATACCACTTATTTCTTACATTTCATCCCTGTTGGTTTGCTGCTAAGTTAGTTGGTCCATTGCTCCATTGATCTTGGGTTTTTCAAGCAATCTTTCTTATTTTATTAGAGTGATGGATTCGTTTTTTGGTGGCTGTTACTGTTAAACTTATAGAAGTGAAAATCAGAGGTAGAATGACAAAAAGTTCTGAAAATCCAATGAGCTGAAATCTTTAAACATGAGAACGATATAGATATGTTTGTGCAAGTACTACTCTCCTTTAATGGTGTTCCGTTATCCTTGAATTATTTTCTGAAAGGGAAATTCTCAATTCACAAAACCAGTCTTGGCAAGCATGCAAGATAAGGGATATATCAGTGAATAAAAATGGTATGTGAAGGTGGTTGTGTATAGGCAACTAACGGGGTATTGGTCCTAGTGTGATTCTATTCGTTTGCTATTGACCAGAGACACTGATCAAGTAGTTAAGGTTTCAGACTTCGTATGGTAAGTAATACTTGATCAATCACCCTTGGGCTGTATTTGATTTGAAAGAAAAGGTGGGAAGGAAGGGAAAGGTAGGGAAATCTGTACAAGGCTTTGGGAGAGGGAGAGCTCAATCGATTAGCATCTGCTAGAGTCATCCGATCCATTAGCGTGGTCAAAAGAGTAGGAATTGCAACGGGGGTCATATTTTTTTTTCCCCGATTCTGATTCTAAAATTAATTCCCATCCCCGTCCTCAATCCCTGCCGGAGATAAAAGTTGTCTTCTATCCCATGAGACCCAAATCCCATGACCCAAATCTCTGAAATTTTTTGAAAATTTAATTTACTTCAAATAAATAAAATTTTAAAATACAAATAATATTTTAAATATATTTTAATTTATACAAATAATATAAAATATATAAATAATAATATAATACCATATATATAACATAAATAATATTTACCATATACATAATCGGAGTCAGGATAGAATAGAGACTTCAATCCCCATCACTACAAAAGAATCATCCGTTAGCTTTTCCATGTAAGAGATTTCTAGGTTGTCCAGGGAGCTTCCATGAATGAGAAAACTTCGACAGCTTTGTGATGTCTACAAGCTCTCTCTCCATGTGACACATTCGCCCGTATAACTGTGTACCTCCAGTTTTGTATGGGCTAACGTGTCTTGCAGGGAGAACTCTGCAGAGAACAGGCTGTCAAATGTAGATAGTCAATAGTTTTTCCTCTATAAACGATTTGATTACCTAGCAAACCTGTTGGTATTAATCCTAGGTGGGCCAGGGTGCCAAAAGATATTGACTTGAAGGTGTGAAGTGTTACAGTTGGAAATGTTGGGTTCAACCCAATGGTTCAGCCACCTTGGCATCGCCTCTGATCTGAGAATTCCCCTTCTTTTTCTGATATAAATGAAGCTTAAATTTCTTTAATAAATAAGGCGTGAAGTGTCAGCTAGGGTTGCAACTTGTGCGTACCCAATTCAATAGAGGTTCAGGGTGGTACAACCCTATCTTTTGCAAGATTGAACCTAGATTTCTGGTTTGGGATGAGCCTGGTTCGGAAAAGTTGGACACAGCTTTCACTTGATCACTTTGGCTTGGATTAAGGCCTCTAGTAGCCATAGCCTGGCCCAGCAAAAACTGATCCTTATTCGCCTTGTGTAATACTTTTATATCCAGAATCGGAACTGTTTGGCTATTGGTTTTTAGGTCAGAGGTTTGATCATTTGGTTCGAATGAACGATCCTTTTCAAATTAAAAAAATAATTAAAACAAAAAAGTCAAAAACTATTGTCTGAGTCATGCAGGTTAATGGTTCGACCATCTATGTCAGTGGGTTTTAAGTAGGGGTGTTCACGGGTCGGGTTGGGTCGGTTTATTGGGGTTTTCCCAACCGACCCGACCTGGTCGGGTTACCTGAGGTGGAAACCGAAACCGACCCACTGATAGGCCAAACCGACCTGGTCGGTTTGAGTCGGATTGGGTCGGTTTCGGTTTTGCTCTGTACAAAATGACACCTAATTGAATTCTAATTGTAATTGCCTAATGGGTTGCCTATTTGGTATAAAAGATTATAGAAAGTTAGAAACTATGATAGATTGCCTATTCTAATTGTAATTGCCTAATGGGCCTTCTAGTTTTAATAGAAGACTAGTTATAGTTAAGTAGGAAACTACTCAAACTAGGAACTACCGAACTAATAGAAGACTAGTTCAGTTCAGGTCGGGTTGGTTTCGGTTTTCACACAAGAAAACTGAAACCGACCCGATATATCGGTTTATATATTTGCCCAACCCGAAACCGACCGGTACTGATGAAAACCCGGCCGACTTGGGTTGGGTCAGTCCGGGTTGGTCGGTTTGGTCAGGTTGGGCATTATTATGAACAGCCCTAGTTTTAAGTCAACAGTTTTTGGCCAAAGAAAGGGCCCGTGTTCCATTTCCAGGTCACAAAGGAAAATTATCAATACTTGAATGGAACAAAATTGTCTCTTTTAGTAACAGTTTTTTTTATGATTAAAATAGTTATTATCTTATTTATTTAAAAAATAAAAAATATGGATAAATACACTAATAAATATATTTATACGAATAAATAGCTAGTTGAAAAAGTTGGTATGATTTAGCTTGGGGTAAAGCTTGAACCAATCATTTTACTATTGGGAATTAATTACCTTAGGTTAGAGGAGGTCTGTGGCTGAAGGATGAAGTCCTACTGTCCTAGCCTTGGGTCTGGCCATCTGGGTTGGGGTCAATTTGACTTGGAAAAGTCAATTGATGAGTCAAGGCATCAAAGTCATGCCGGGCAAGGAATGCAATATGAAAGTTTGAATGTTTCGTTGATTTAAATGAACACAAACATGTGTGATGTTTTGCCACGTGGCAAAAATTTGGGAAAACTGCAATAACATTTTTCAACACCCAACTACATCAACGACCAACAGAGATGAATTGCTCTGTGATTGTCAATGACCGGCGAGAACCCTTCTCGGACGAAGGATTTGATGTAGCTATTTCATTGGAATTCTCATTCCGCCCCTGAACTAAAACATTGGCATTGAAATCCTCCGGCAGCGGGGCATCGCCATTGAGATATCGTACAACACTTAGCATGCTCGGCCTAGCTGCGGCCACAGGGTGCGAGCAAAGCAACCCAAGCTTCAACACCAACTCGGCTTCCTCCACAACATACTCCATCCCTAGCTTAGGATCCAAAGTCTGCAGAATGTCTTCCCTCCCCCAACAATCTGTGACCCAGTCCACCAGAATTATCTTCTCTAGCTCTACTCGTGGCTCCACTGGTCTTCTGCCACAAGCCACCTCCAGCAAAAACGAGCCAAATGCAAACAAGTCAGACCTCGTAGTAGCTTTCCCCGTTCTAGCAAGCTCAGGTGCAATATAACCCAGGGTGCCTGCTAGGTTTGTAGTTTGAGGATCAGTTCCGTGATCGCACCATTTCGCAAGGCCAAAGTCTCCCAATCTTCCATTCATTTCACCGTCTATTAACACGTTGCTGGCCTTGATATCTCTGTGAATGATCACCTGTACCCATTGATGGTGCAGATAAAGGAGCCCAGAAGCCACATCCCTGATTATCTTAAATCTTTGTGCCCAGCTAAGCGTCAACCTGGGTTGATCGAAAAGGAACTTGTTGAGGCTGCCTTTGGGCATATAATCATAAACCAAAAGCAGCTCTCCTTTACGCCTGCAGTAGCCCAGGAGTCGTACTAGATTGGGGTGTCGGAGCCTGCCGATGGTTGCAATTTCTGCGACGAACTCTCTCATGCCTTGTCTTGAATCATGAGAAACTCTCTTCACGGCCACATGGATTTTGGAGGTGGGTAGCACTCCTCGATAGACCCCACCGAAACCACCCCTTCCGAGAAGCTTCCTCTCTTTGAAGCCTTTGGTGGCAATAAACAGATCCTTGTATGTGAATCTGTGAGGTCCATATTGGACCTCCCAATCTTCCAGTACTTCCATGTATCTTCTCTTCCACTTCACGGTTATAAGGGCGATGACCGATATGGTTGCTAACAGAAGCACAAGTGAAGCAGAGGACAGAGAAATTGCCAAAACCTTGGGCTTCTTTTTCTTTTTGGTAGGATTTTCCTGCTGTCGACCTTGAGGGAACTTAGGGAGGCGTGAGAGGTCGAAGTCTTTAGCTTGCCCATTCATCTTAAAGCTCCAAGCCAATATATAATGAGTTGCTCGAATGGAGCCAGTAGATGATGAGAAACCTACATACATATCATCCAAGATGAATGGGGAAAGATCTTGTCTCAAGGACAAGAGAGGACGATGGGGTCTGGGTATGTTGGGAGGATACAGTGTTACATTAAGTTGCTTTTCAGCACCGTCATATTCCACCCATATCTGCAACGGATCTCCACTTATTAGACTTAAATTCATAAACCCACCACCATTATCATCAGCGTGATATCCTGCTTTAGCGGATTCAATGGATATTAAGCTATTGATATCAATTCCTACATGGTTGTCGTTGATATCACTGAACTCGCGGCTTAAGATGGTGTCCACCTCCACTGCAACGATATGATTGGATGGATCACCAATGTTAGAGTTATTGAATAGGCCAAGATATTGACTGGGTAAAACTCCAGGGAGGTCTTTTGAAGGTGAAATGACAAAGGCAAGTCCATGCCCACTAATGTGATATTGGTCATCAGGAAGTATTGCAAAGATAAAAGAGGTAGAGAAAGAGAGAACACTACCGTTCGGTTTCTTAAATCGGAGAGGAAGGGAGTAGAAGACATGGCCTGTTGTTTGCCGACCAGTAGCGTTTGTCAGTTTGAAAAGGCCGTCGGATTCGATCTCTGCAGTACCGTCCACACTCAAATTGTCTCCGCTAAACATGAACTCATCGTGAATATTTGAAGATACAAACTTCAGACGATGGAGTAAAAACAGTATCAGAACTATGAGAGACATGGCTAAGGCCTACTAAGCTGCAACTTGCAAGAATGTAAAAAAGGTGGGCAGAGAATACATCTAAATCTCTCTCTCTCTCTCTCTCTCTCCCCCTCTCATTCGTGGATTTGACGAGGTTTGGCAATACTTCCATCTTGCCCCACAATTTTCTTACTTGTGCAACTTCCCGGAAGGAGATAAGGTGGGTGCTTTCAGGTTTCTTTGGAGAAAATATGTCCTGGTCACTGGTGCACCCACTTGGATACACCCACCGATGCACAGATTTTTTGATGCATTTAAAAACTCCATGCGGTCATTATAAAATTAAAAAAAAAAAACCTAAAAAAAGCATGACTATCGGTACTTTTCTTCAACTTTTTTTCTCTGATCATTTGTAATAAATTTCTTTTTTTCTTTCTATTAGTTAAAACATAGAATGAAGCAATGATCAAAGTATTGGTATCGGCTATCATATGGGATAGTTTGGATGCGGATTCAGATATAGATATGCGTGGGAAATGCATTGATACGAACGAAAGATATGGAAATACATGGATACATAGGAAAATAATACAAATTTCATAAATACATCAATATACAAATTTAAAAGTCAAAATATCTATAAACAAAGTACAAATACATAAAAATGCATATTTTAATGATAAAGAAATATATTACTAATACAACAAGATACATAAATATCATAGGATTGTGTTGATAATCTATCAATCAAGAGTCCAAGATTCATATTATATAGTTTTTACAAAACAGAACATGCACAAAACCATTATTATATTAAATTTTATAAGTTCAAGACACAAAACATATGCAATTATTATATTCTAATTACTATAGCGATTATTTTTCAACATTAACAAAAAGGTCAATTAAATATTAGATTTTGAAATGTTTGATAGTATCAAAATTATTAACATATGACATTCATGATTTTTCTAAGATACATATATTATTATCATATTTTTACTTTTAATCTTAACTGAAAATATGTCAAAATTATTAAAATTTCTAAGATACATATCATATGAAATTCATAATTTTTAATTACTAAAGTAACAATTCCATTATTTTCTAAAATAACAAATCATTTTTTATATAAATTTAAAATAGCGGGTTTGATAAATTCAATTTAATACTACATTCTTCATGGTGCAGCACGATCCGGGCACTCCTAGCTGGCTGCTGACTAGCTCCTCGCTGGCAACCGGCGGCACCTGAGAAGATGAAAGGAAGGACTCCCGAGGATTTTACCCGGTGGGAGTACTCCAACGCTTAAGTTAGAACGCAGGAAAGAAGGAAAAGAAGAAGTCGGTAGCTAAGAGTGTAGGTCGCGCGTTACCGGTATATTCGAGATATTAGAGTTCTCCCCAAGCCCCTTTCCCTTCTGCCCCGATGGATTTTTATAGGGGTGCTCTTGTCAGATCGGGTATAACCGCCACTAGGCCCCTTCCGCTGCCGTTACCTGCCAGGGCTGCGCAGGTGGCCGTTGTGGCGTACTCCCCGCCCGGRTGGGTGACACGTCTCCAAGGTGACAGGCATGCCTTCGCCTGCTGAGAGACATGGATGCAGACTGTCGAAAGGACAGGGGCTGCACCGTCAGTAGAGGATATGGCGCAGTCTGACCGGTACGGTCTGTCAGTTGGAAGCTTCCTAGAGGATGCTAGTGCGGCTAGCTTGCGAGCTATTTCGTGGTGAGCTTGGAACATTCCAGGATTACCCTTAGTGAAATTGGTCATCAGAATGACCTGTTTGCTAGGGAGCGTGAGCGAGCTGATAACTTTAGTTCGCGAGCTACAATTGCTTCGAAGTATCCCTTTAGAGATAGCTCGGGGGACCCGAGGCTCGCGTTGTGGCGAGCTCTTCCTTTGCGCGCTGCGATGTAACGAGCTGCTTTATGGGCCCATTACTTGGTTGCACTGGGCTACAATGTTGAGCTGTCGCTTATGCTGAGGCAGTGTCTACGCATCACCGTTTCACAAGTTGGGTCAAATCATCCTTCATCAATTGCCCCCCACTCCTCGAGCTAAGAATACCGCCTTAGCGCGGGGAGTTTAAGAAGTGCGATGGACTGATTTGACCGAAATCCAAACTTGATTGACTATCCTTATTAAATGCACTTGTGGGAATCAAGAGATTTCATGACTTCCCTGGCTTTCCGGATTCCGAGAACGTGCTGAGGTGTCCTTCAACTCCGAACGTCGTGCGGCTACGACTACCTTAATTATGGAAGTCATGCCACCAATCGCCTTCGGTTTTCAAAAGGCGTGCAGTCAGGGCGCCCGCAGACCGTTGGATCTGCTTTGATCTGAGCCGTCAATTTGAAAGGGTGGAGGCTATAAATAGGGGCCCCCTCGGGCCCTATTTTCTTCCACACTATCTTTGTTGTCTTTGGATTCTAAGGTCGCGCGCTTATCTGAGTTCCTCAGTCTGCTCCGTTCCGTCTACTTTGGTGAGTTCCAATTGCTGTCAGCCATGTCTGGGTACCCGTACCTCACCTATCATAGGAGCGATAGACAGGATGATGATGATGCTCCCTCGAGCTCAGGGGGAGCCTGGGAGCAGACCCCGGAGGCTCTGGAGGCCTCCGGTGACGTGGCGTCTACTTCTAGGGGGAGGGAGCCTGATACCTTTGGCCCTTCCTTAATGACAGCGGAGAGACTCAGGTTTCTGATCCGCTACTTTCGCCTCCCGGGGGACCTGGTTTACGGCCTCTCTACTGGTAACTTCCCTTGGGAACATGGCCCCAACGACATAGTAGTCTTTCAGGAACAACTCGAGGCTGGCTTGCGTCTCCCCCTACACCCCTTGATAGTGAAGGTGTTAAACCACTTCAACGTCACCATTGACCAGCTTCATCCCAACGCTATTCGAAACATGGTTGGGACTGTGCTACGAGTACTGCCTTCCTCTGGACCTTGGCATTTTTGCCTCTATCCTTTGTATAAAGAACGCTGCTCCTGGGGTTCCTCCGGAGAGGCGCTTTTATTACCTCTCTCCCCACTGCGGCTATAAGCTCTTGTACGAGTTACCGAATAAGATTCCTGCCTGGAAGCGGGATTACTTCGTGGTCCGTAACCCCGAGGGGTGGCCCTTCCCTACTGCTTGGAGGGGCACCATCCATGACCCCGGGGCCAAACTGGACCTCAAAACATGGAAAACGATGTTGTTCTGGGCGTCGGTAGGCTTTCTTTGCTCGGAATATTTGACCGAGGAAAAGCTCGTGCAGGCAGGCTTGAGTCTGGGTAGGTCGGCCTTCTAGGTCGTGTAGTGCCTTACACGTGTATTTTGTTCCTTGTCGAACTAACTAATATCTTATGGTTTTTTGGCAGCCATCATGTCCAGTGCCGATTCGCGCCGCCTTCTCTCGGGCAACCAGGGACGCCATGCGAAGAGGACGCGCCCCGACCGGATCCCTCCTTCGGGAAGCACAAAGCTCGGGTCTGCGGAGGCGGTTCTACCCTTTCCTCCGCCCGAGGTTCCTACGCCCCATCCTGAGGGGGCTAGTGGGATTAACCCTGGGGTAGATGAGCTCCCTCAGCCGGGGGAGTCTCCCTGTAATCCCCTTCAACCCCGTCCTTACCCCTAGTTCCCAGTGGGGAACTAGGAAGGGGTAAATGATTATATGGTGGCTCGCCGGAGGAGTCGGAAGGCGATCACTAACGACGAGATCGCATAATGGGGAAACATGGAGCCCGGGGACCTCTGCGCGTTCGCCTCTCGGCAGGTGAATTCCGCCATCCATGCCATGGCTCTCTAGACGCGCATCCATCGCGTCGACACCCTCGACCAACGGACTACCAACCAGAAGCTCCAGAGCGAGCTCGACCGGATCTGGGGCGAGCTCCATCACACCCGCAAGGGGAGCGAGTCTCAGGAGCTGCTCGTCCACGACCAGGAGGCCCAAATTGCCCGGCTTTCTGAAGAGAGCACGCGTTACAGGGAGGAATCGTCGAGGATAGCGGCGGAGAGGGAGATCCTCAGGCAGCAGGTGCGGGAGTTGGAGTCCACTCTTCTGAATCGAACCCGAAACTTTGATCAGATGGTGGATGCTGAGCGAGAGAAAGCGGTCTGGGATTTTAAAGACTCCCAGGAATTTCAGGACCTCCAGGCGGAGTACGATTCGGGTTCGTATCGCTCGGGATTTAAGCTTTGCCAGTGGTTGGTTCGGAAGAAGTTCTCCAGACTCAGCCTCGACGGCATTACCATGAAGGGTCTGTCCCCTGAGACGACGGACCAAGCGGAGGAAGAGGAGCCTGACTCCCCAGAGGATGAGGAGGTGGATCCTTGAAGCGGCATTTCTCTGGACTTCTGGTGGCTTCCGGGTGCCATAAACCCGGTCTTGAAAAGATCTTCTTGTTGGGCAGTTGTGCCCTTTTTACCTTTTGTTAAACTTTTTTCGAGCTGTTTAGCCCGATTTGTTCCGTTTAGCCCGATTTTTTTTTGCAATGGAACTTCTTTCTCCTTTCTTAAGTATGGCGTGCTCCCTTTATTTTTGCTAAAGCGATCTCACCGCTTGAGCTTTTAGAGCTACATGCCCGAAGTAGGACTTCTTGGTAGTCGTTATCTTGATCTGTTTTCAACGCTTAAGGCGTCTCCATGGTACACCGCGAAGTGATTACCATGTATGCCCGAACTATGCACCCGTTGGTTATTCCTTAATTCAACCAACGTATTGAGACGAGGTATGCTTTGTAAGGTTTAAACCCGAGCTGCTTACGCCTCTGATATTTCATACTTTGCCACAAGTGCCTTTCTTGATACCGAGGTCTTCGTTAGCTCGGTGGTCTTGGCCCTTAGGCCGAAGGGGTGATAGTCTGCCTTTAGAGTCCGCCCATGCCATGGAGGCGACTGGGTCTTATAGCACCGAAGTCGTTAGCTCAGCATTTTGGGCCCTTAGGCTCTGGGAGTGACTTGTGGTCTACTCAGTAGTTACAGGTAATATTGCCTTAA